TGTCGGGGAGCCACTCCGGGCTGCTTTCAAGCCGCGTGTGGCCGAAGCTGCAGTTCGGGTGCTAACAGGACTGCCGGCCAGTTGCTGGAGTCCCTGAGGGTATGTCTAGACTGCATCCCTCTGTCGGCAGAGGGATGCAGATTAGGCAGGTCGACATTGCAAATGAGGCAGGGATTTAAATATCCCGTGCCTAATTTGCATAAAAATGGCCACCACGTTTTGCTGACTTAACACTTTGTTGGCAAAAAGCAGCAGTCTAGAGGGGGATCTGTTGACAAAGAAAGCCTTTTTCGACAGATCCCTTATGCCTCCTGCAAGGAGGTTTACAGGATCTGTCGAAAAAGGCTTTCTTTGTCGACAGATCCCCCTCTAGACGGCTGCTTTTTGCCGACAAAATGCTGAGTCGGCAAAACGTGGCAGCCATTTTTATGCAAATTAGGCGCGGGATATTTAAATCCCTGCCTCATTTGCAACGTCAACCTGCCTAATCTGCATCCCTCTGCCGACAGAGGGATGCAGTCTAGACATACCCTGAGTGGGATGAGGTTGCCCAGTGTTATTTCCAGCCCAGCCTGCATGAAGGTATTAAAGACGAGCAGGCCTGGGTAGGATCCCTGTCCTATCTGGATGTGTTAGTCGATCTATGGACTATGACTGCATGATTAAGTGCTGCCAAGAAAAAGGGTGGGCCTCCCAGCCTGGCTTGCTCCAGCCCCATTCACTTGTCCTTTCTCCATTGCCCAAACCCATGCCAGCTGATTGGGTCTGGCCCTCCTCTCCAACGCGGAGAACAATCGAGTTCCATAAAGACACAATGGAATTCTTGGGCTGTATCATCTGGCCCGAGGAACTCAGCATGGACCTGTCAGGTGGCAGTCTCATCCAACTGGGCAGTGCCCAAGGAGGTAGCAACGTGCAGCAAATCCTGCGGCTCACGGGCAATTTATTAAAGGATTCTCTAGCCTGGCTGCATGGCTAATGGTGGTCCTGCAAACAGGATCCTACTTTGTCTGCTCCACAGAGGCTCAGTCAGCCGTTGGTCACAAGGAGTTCACCTCAGCACTCATCCTGATCCAGCCAGCACCTATTAAACCACTTACAATCAAGACCCACACCTCAAACTTTGCCATATGTTCAGTACAGTAAAATTCCAATTGTCTGGCATCCAGTGGTCCGGCACTCCCAATAGTCCGGCACCAACTGGAACCCGGAAGTGCTCCGGCCAGCCGGACAATTGGAACTGCTCTGCGCCGCTTCCTCAAGTCCGCTGCTGCCGCTGCTGAAACTGACCAGCTGCGGAACTATGGAAGCGGTGAGGAGCAGAGCAGCTGGGGTGCTGCCAGGTTGGTCCCTCAGCGCCGCCCCTCACCCCCCTGCTCGGTGCCCGGCAGCAGTCTGTTCTGTTCTGCCCCACGGCTTCCGCAAGTCCACCACTGCTGAAACAACCAGCAGCGGACTTGGGGAAGCCCTGGGGCAGAGCAGCTGGGGTGCTGCTGGGTTGGTCCCACAGTGCTGCCCCTCACCAGCACCTGGTTCGCCCCACACCACGCCGTTCCCCACCCGACCCCTCACAGTTCCCCTGCCGGAGTACGTCCTGATACTCCGGCATATCCGATAATCCAGCACCCCCTGGGTCCCAAAGGTGCCGGATTATTGGAAGACTGCTGTATTATCTCAACACGCCTCCCCATCCCTACTCTACCCTTGTGCCTTTTATTCTCAAATGCGAACCCTGGCTGGCAAAAACGATGATATTCAAGACAAGTTGCTACTGGCTCTCCAGGAAAATTTCAAGGAGTGTCACCATCCCCTACAGCAAGGGTGGGGAACCTCAGGCCCGGGGCCAGATGTGGCCCCTGGTTTTCCTGGATCTGGTCCCTGAGGCTCAGCATTGGGGAAACCGTGCCAGTGCTCCAGCCCCCCGCTACCAAACCTGCAAGGCTGAAACATACAAAAATCTACTAGCCTGCCCCCCCGGTTCTTGTGTGCAAAGGGAAGGGGAGAGCATCTTTCTCCTTCTCAGTCTTGTGTGTGGCCCCCGACCCAAAAAAGGCTTCCCACCCTTGCCCTCCAGAGAGCCTGAGTTCCCATCCAAGTCCTAATGAACCACAGGAACCTGGAGTACCGACAGACGGCTAAAGGCCTTAACCAATGCCAGAGCTACTGGTCCTTCTTCTTCCCTCACTGATTTTTGATGGGACCTCTCATGAACAAGCCAAGAGAAGTATCTCGAACCTGGCGAAGAGTCAATTGTCAGCATCCTCTAGATGTCCCTATCTTTGTCTATAGGCAGGAGTCGGACATCTTCTGCCCACATACTGTGCCCATGTGCCCCCCAAGCCGACTCTGAATTTCAGCCACTAAATGGCCTCTTCTGGTCAAAGGTATTGATGTTCCAGATGCACCATCCAGCGCTTGCAGGCCACGCTGATCAAGTCAACACTTGGAATCTGGTCTTGAGGAACCTGCGATAGCCACGCCCATGAATTTACATCAAGGATTAGGTAAGGTCTTGGGATGCAGTAAGAACACCCACACCCCAGCCCTCCTGCGAGAAACCAAGCCAAGGAAGTGCCTTTAAGGGGATACAGGAAGCAGGGCCTGCAATTGAACCCATTTCCAGGCAACCTAATGAGTGCAGTTGGCCTGTAGTTGGCCACCTAATGGGCTGCACCACCTGACTGGTTGGAAGATTCAGCTAAGTGGCTCTTAAGTCCAGCAGCAGTTCAGTGGCTGCCCAAGGCATTTGCCTACAGCTGCAATAGCTGCTGCACCGGCTGTTCTCAGGCCTGCTCCAACCCTGTTCCTGCCTTGCCTCACTCCAAGCAACCTGTCCTGACCCTTGGTTCTAGTTCCTAATGTGTCACTTCAGCTCTGATCCGTGCTCTGGCATCTGGCTTCTGCCTCCGGCTCTGACCCTGGACTGTAAGTGCTGACTATTGATTCCTGTCCTAACCACCAGACTTGAATCCTGCTCCGTCCACTAGGCATGACTGCCACATCCCAGTTGCTCACACCCACCAGGGCTAATGCCCACCAGGCTAGTTGCAGAAGCATCCACTGTGCTTGCCTCAAAGTTGCAATTCTCCTGACATGTCATTGGCTCCCTAGGGGCTTGGTGAACTGGACAGTTGATAGAATTATCGTAGCTACAAATGCAGTGGCTGGAAAACTTTAGGACAAATAACCGGTCATCCTTCTTTCAAACAAACAAACCTATTTTTCAAGTTCAGGACAAAGATCCCCTTTCCCCCACAACTGAAAAACTATTTTTTTAAATATGTGACTTTAAGATGTGTAAAAGCCCAGACTGACATTCCCAACGCATGTAATCACGTAGACTCCTCTTAATCCGATTTAGTCCCCGCTGAACCATGGGCTAACTCCAGGTCAGCTTCCCCCTCCCCTCACAGACACTTGAGGCAAGGGCTCCCCAGTGTCTGTATGGGGGGGAACATGCCCTTGGGCGGGGGTGCTCTACACCCAGGGCTGCAAGCTGGACAAGTTTTCTGCTGTCACTTTGTTCTCCTGTAATAACCAGCATTCTTCGGGGAAAACCATCATAGATTGCCTCTGTAATTCATTTTTGCTGAGTCAATACCCCAACTTCCCTCCCACCACCAATTTCCTGAGCTCCTGCGTTTTACCTTTGTCAGTCTGTTCTTCAGTAATAATCCACTGAAAAGTTCAAAGAAATCTTGGATGATCTTTAATTCTAACCCTCCAGGGCCAGGATGCTACTGGGCAAAATGGCTGCTTCTACGGATGGTCAAATCTCAATGGGTTACAAAGTTTCCTTCACTTCCGATAAAGCATCCAGCAGTTTAGCACCTGAGCCCTTCTGAACCCTTTCAGTCTGCAACCAATGAAAATCTAATAAGAACAAGCTCTCTCAGAACTGCAAAACAACTCCCAGATTTTTGATGCGTCGGGACTGCGGCTGGAATAGCTTCTCTCTCGCTTCTCCCATTTCAAGTTTCAACTAGTGAAGACAGGCATGAAAAATTCCTCAATATTTGGCAAAGCTCAGTGAAGGGGAAAGCGTGTGGAGGGCGGGGGGAGTCTGGAACGAAGGCTCCAATCAGTTCTTTGTCTGTGCTCGTGCGCCCCCCTCTAGCAGCTTCTCACATGAATAGAAGTCATTGGATCCCTTTCCAGGTTCTGCCCATATTTGCAGGTGCCATTTGATGCTATTTTTGTTCCCAACTAAAGAATAAAAGAGAAGCCAGGCTGTCCATATTCTCCCCAGTCTCCCAGCCCCTGTAATCCCAAGAACCGCCTGTTACAGCGAGACAGACCCTCAGGAACCAGGGGCTGTGATGATGTCACAGTGGCTATTAGAATATAAACATAATTGCCACTTGAGAACTCAGGGAGTTCTTCTGGGGGCTCCCCGCTGATTCCTTATGTGCCCCTTGCGAACATAAACCAGCTCCCCAGTAGTGATCCTCTGACCTGTAAAGCCTGGACCACGTTTGGCTCTGCATCTCTGCAGGAGGACAAGCCATTACAAGTATTGTTACAAGGCTTCTATGTAGCCACAGTGAGAATCAAATCACTGATCTAGCCCCAGTTATTGGTTTCGCATTAGCTAAGAATCAGGGGAGTTTCTAGGCCCTCTCTGCCTTTCAATGGAACATACTCAGGCCTGATTCCTGGATCCCAATAAACACTGGAAAGCCAGCCCTTCACAAGAAACAGGGACATATCACGGAAACAACCAGCACCTGCAAAATACCAATTCTAGGGAGCTGCCTATCGTCTCAGTCCTTAACCCTTCACATGCCAAGCATGCAACAAAGGCAGATACAAATCTGAAGACAGATGCTAATGAAACACACAGTGTCTCGGGCAATGTTTAGAAACGTGAGACAGGTGCGGCGCCAGCTTTCTGCCTCAAAGTGTGGAGGAGGAACAGTTACTAATCTAAACGTGATCCTCTGCCCGCTCCTATGCTAGTCCAGGGTGGGGCAGTGGGCCACAAAGCCAGGATCTCTCAGTCTTGTTTCTCTAATGGGGGTGAAAGGGGGTCACAAAGAATATCCAACTCTCTAGGCAAGGAAAGGGTTAAGTCATTTTCTCTTTAGCTTGGGTTTAAAGGGACAGGGCAGGAAGGCTGCATGGGGAGGGAGGGAAGGAGAGTTTGCTTCTGTGTTGCTCTTCCTCCATCCCCCACTTCTGAGAGGTTTGATTTCCAGCCTTGACCTTTTCAGAGGCTCAGTCTGAACCCTGCTCCTTGGCGTCACATGATTGTCTCGCTGCGGTGCTTGTGAGCCTCGTTTGCCTGGTAGATAAGGTGGTAGGGCTTCTCGTTCTCCTCAATCACCGAATTCCCAAGCTCGCAGTCTTGTGCCTCCAGCTCATGCCGGGACAGGTGCTCCACTATCCCAGCTCCCAGGGAGTCCCCCAGCACGTTGGTGGTGGTTCTCAGACGGTCCCTGGAAAAAGGCAGAGGAGAGTGACCATGAAACTTGGAGGGAAATGCCTTTTGGGGACCAAGGCAGGCTGAAAAACATCAGGGGGCAGGCCTAGTGCTTTGCACCAAGGACAAACATGTCTCTGACTTGGGACACCTGAAGTTCAGTTTGGCTCAGAGACGTGATTTTTAAATAGTTTCTTCAGAGGCGTAGCGAGAGTGTTATGCACCTGGGGACAAAGGCCCAATTTGTGCCCCCCCCTCCGCCACTGCTGCACAGCTGAGCCCGACCTTGGGAGGAGGGCGGGGGAGCTTGTACCGCATCTTCCCCCACCCCCTCCAGTTTGGGGCCGGGCCCCCACACGCACTAACCTGCCGGCGGAGATGGTTGAAGGTCGGGCTGGGGGCATAGAGGTGGGGAGGAGGCTCCAGCCAGCGGCAGCAGGCAGAGGAGCAGGCAAGCCGAGGGATGACAGGGGGAATGGAGAGGGCTAAATTGGCGCCCCCCTAGCGTAGCGCCCAGGAGCAACTCCCCCCTCTTCCCCGCTACGCCACTGGGTTTCTTTTCACTCAATTACCCTGCTCCTTCCTTTGACTTACATCGGTAGAACTCCCCTCACTTCAAAAGAGGCACTCTCAGTTTACGACTGGCGTGAGAGGGAAATCAGGCTCTCTGTTGTAACCAGTCGGACACGACCCCCCCCCCCCCTACTGGCGTCCAGCTGACTGGACATACTCCTCTGCTTTCCCCTTTCCCCTTGACCCCACCTCTCTTAGGGTATGTCTACACTACCCTCCTAATTCGAAATAGGAGGGTAATGTAGTCATACCGCAATTGCAAATGAAGCCCGGGATTTGAATTTCCCGGGCTTCATTTGCATAAAGCCGGCCGGCACCATTTTTAAATGCCGG